AAAAAGGAGACATATGTAATACTCTTTGTAATAATTTAAGCAATAAAAAAATTATTAAAAAAAATAAAAAATAAATAAAAAAAATCACATAATCATATCAATTGATGCAGAAAAGGCATTTGACAAAAATCGTACACCCTTTTCTGATAAAAGCTCTCAGTAAAGTGGGAATAGAGGGATCATACCTCAACATAATAAAAGCCTTATAGCAAAAACTAAAACCATTTCCCCTAATAAGAACAAGACATGGATGCCCACTTTCACCACCCATGTTCAACGTAGTACTTGAAGTGCTAGCCATAGAGATCAGACAAGAAGAAATAAAAGGCATCCAAATTGTAAAAGAATAAAACTGTCATTATCACAAATGACATGATATTGTACATCGAAAACCCTAAAGACTCCATTAAAAAACTACTAGACTTAGTAAATGAATGCGGCACTGTAGCAGTATACAAAATTAACACCTAGAAATCTGTGGCTTTTTTATATACCAATAATGAACTCACAGAAAGAGAAACTAAAATAACAATCCCGTTTACCATTGCAACAAAAAAAGTAAGATACCTAGGAATAAATTTAACCAAGGATGTAAAGGACCTGTACTTAGAAAATAACAGGATGCTGAAAAAAGAGATAGAAGAATACATAAACAAATGGAAGCATATACCCTGTTCATGGACTGGTAGAATCAACAAAATTAAAATGTCCATACTACCCAAAGCAATCTCAATTTCAATGCAATCCTCATTAAAATACCAACAGCATATTTCACAGACTTAGAACAAACTCTTCAAATATTCATATGGAATTTTTAAAAAGGGCCCCAAATAGCCACAGCAATCCTGAGGAGGAAAAACAATGTTGGAGGGATCACAACACCGGATATCAAGCTGTATTACAAAGCCACTGTTCTCAAAATTTCCTGGTACTGGCACAAGAACAGACATATAGACCAATGGAACAGAACAGAGAACCCAGAAGTCGACCCAAACCATTATGCTCAATTAATATGTGACAGAGGAGACAAGACCATACAATGGAGACAAGACAGTCTCTTCAATAAATGGTGTTGGGAAAATTGGACAGATATTTGAAAAAAAAATGAAACTAGACCACCAACTTACACCATACACAAAAAGAAACTCAAAATGGATAAAGGACTTAAACGTAAGATGGGAAACCATAAAGAGTTTAGAAGAAGCCATAGGCAGCAAAATAGCAGACATATGTCATAGCAATATCTTCACGGATATAGCTCCTAGGGCAATGGAAATTAAGGAGAAAATAAAATAATGAGACTACATCAAAATAAAAAGCTTCTGCACAGCGAAAGAAACCATTAACAAAAGAACAAGAAAGCTCACTGCAAATATGGGATAACATATTGCCAATGTTATCTTTGATAAGGGTTTAATCTCTAAAATGTACAGGGAACTCATACAACTTAACAAAAGGAAGATAAACAATCCAAAAAAAAATTGGTAAAGGACCTAAATACAGTATATACAAAAGGTCAAGAGACATATGAAAACATTTTCGAAGTCACTAATCATCTGAGAAACGCAAATTAAAACAACAATGAGGTACCATCTTACACCTGTCAGAATGGCTATCATCAACAAATCAACAAACAACAAGTGCTGGTGAGGATGTGGAGAAAAAGGAACCCTCTTGCACTGCTGGTGGGCATGCAGACTTGTGCAGCCACTGTGGGAGACAGTATAGAGTTTCCTCAAAAAATTTAAAAAAATGGAATTCCCTTTTGATCCAGTAATCCCACTTCTAGGACTATATCCCAAGAAACCAGAAACACCAATCAGAAAGGATATATGCATCCCTATGTTCATAGCAGCACAATTCACCATAGTTAAGATTTGGAAACAGCCTAAGTGCCCATCAGCAGATGAGTGGATTAAAAAATGGTTGTACATCTACACAATGGAATTCTATGCTGCTGTCAAAAGGAAGGAATTGTTACCATTTGGAACATCATGGATGGAACTGGAGAGCATTATTCTAAGCGAAATACGCCAGTCAGAGAAAGATAAATATCACATGATCTCACTAATATATGGGATAAAATGATCAACATAATTTGATGAAGAAAAATAGATCGATCTAGAGACAAATGGTAGGGGAGGGGAGGTTAGAGAGCAACTAATGGACTTGTATGCATGCATATTAGCATAACCAATGGACACAGACATTGGGGTGCTGGGGGCTTGCCCCGGGTGGGAATGGCTGGGGAAATGGGAGGGTCAATTGTGGAAAAAGGACACACATGTAAAACTTTAGACAATAAAAAATAAAATAAAATAAGATAAAATAAAATAAAGTATTCTCCCTGCATTGGCTGAGTGGCTCAGTTGCTTGAGCTTCATCTCATGTACCAAAAGGTAACTGGTTCAATTCCCACTTATGGCATATACCCAGGACGTAGGTGCATACTGTAGGCAACTGATCCATGTTCCCCTCTCTCTCTCTTTCTCTCTCTCTAAAATCAATAAAAACATATTTAAAAAAATATTCACCCTTACATGGCAGAAGCAGCAATAGGGTGAACTATAATTACTAAATTAGTAATCAATTACTAATTAATTTTAACCTATCTGGATAAACCAGTTGGATATGTGGACATAAACAACAAACTTTATAATTTTTAAATGTAGTATTAGAGAATTCTATGTAACTTCTAACAGCTTTGTTAGGAAAATAAATTTTAGAGAAAAAAATCAGAAAGATCAAATAGAATACCATATATGGAGACTGAAATAAGTGATATGATAGGAGAATCTGAAGTGCAAAGATTTTTTTTCACAATTAATGACAATCTCAATAAAATAAAAGAACTCTCAATAAAGAGTTCTGTTTCCTAAAATGGCCAATAGCACCCTTCCTCCACTTGAGAAATGAGCAAGTCCTTAAGGATAAACTTGCTTTTTTTTTCTTTATTGATTAAGGAATTACATATGTGTCCTTATCCCCCCATTATCCCCCCGCCCCACTCATGCCCTCACCCCCCTGTTGTCTGTGTCCATTGGTTAGGCTTATATGAATGCATAGAAGTCCTTTGGTTGATATCTCCCCCTTACCCCTACCCTCCCCTACCTTCCCTCTGAGGTTTGACGGTCTGATTGATGCTTCTCTGTCTTTGGAACTACAGGATATAACATATGTCCTAGGGCAACATATTTGTATGGTATTGTGCAATAAGTACAATACATGAGTCTGAAAACCCACTTGGAGTGATTCATTTTAGCATCACTCCCTTTGACCTACTTGGAAAATGTGTGCTTCCCATACCTGAATTTTAGGCTGTGTGACTCTAAAGGTCCTAATTCACAGGGGAAATCAGCCTCCTTATTGTAAGACTTCAGCATTCAAGGAAAGAATTTCCATATTGGCAGGGGTAAGATACCTTATCAAAAGGGGATAGGTGAACCAATGATATACTTATTACCAATTATGATTGTTAATGGACAGGGCAGCAGCCATGACTTGAGACGGTAGCTGACTAGGGATTCAGACAACTCAGGGATGAGGATTTGGGACATAATACTAGGTAAGTCACCCAGACTAGCAGAGATATTGGCTAAGGACACAGGGAACTTAGAATGGGTATTCTGGGAGGAAGAGAATAAGTAAAAGTTACAGTTGACAACAGCTTTAGTGGAAAGGGCCTTATTCATCCTGCTAACCTACCTCTTTAAAAATTTTCCCAGGAAACAGACCAAACAGAATTCTGGAAGAGTTGTTCCCAGTAGTGAATTTAGCATATAAAAGCAATTGACAGCAGGGGTAGAACATGTCATAATGAACCCCACTTCCTCAGTCCTCAGAAGTGCTGGCTGCTCATTACTCACATCTGGTTCCCTCTATGGATGACCCAGGGTATAAAGGCCTGATGCCCTTACCTGAACTCAGCACATCTCTATGGCACCATTCCCATTCCAGAACTCCTGTGGCATTGATGAGCAACTGCATTGCAGTTCAGCTGTCCCCACTGCACACACCCTTACAGGTCTAGTCTCTGAGAGTACTCTCCAACAAGCCTCCTGCATGCAAATCTCCTCAGAGGCTGTTCCCAGATTTCCCAATTTAACACTTGGGTAGAGAAGGATTTCTTCAGCCACAGAAAGTACTAATGGTAAATTAAAAGAGTGCTAAATGTGACCAAATTAAAATTGGGAATCTCTGTTCATCAGAAGACACCATTCATTAAAAGAGTAAAAAGGTAAGTGGGAAGAGATATTTCCACATAGATATAACTGACGATGAACACATATACAAATATTTTAAAAATCCACTATAGCAATAAGAGAAGAGAAACTCAATAAAAAAACATTTGTGGAAGACACAGCCACTTTGCAAAAGATCTCCAAATGTCTAATAAAAATATGAAAAATTAATCTCATGTAGATTTAAAAGGAAGTGCAAGTTAAAACCACAGTTAAAACCAGAGTTGCATACATTTAAAAAATCAGCAAATGTTGATGAGAATGTTCTTTCATACTGTGGGCTCCCTTTTCATTTTGTTGATGGTTACTTTTGCTGTGCAGAAGCTTATTTTGATATAGTCCTATTTGTTTATTTTCTCTGTAGTTTCCTTTGCCCTAGGAGATGTATTTGTAAACATATTGCTACAGAGATGCATTTTAGACTGAACTAAAAGTGATCAAATATGAACTTAAAAAAATCACACGCCATAAACTCAGTGATTTCATGTGCTTGAGATCAATAAAATAAGAAGCACCCCGCTGAATTTTAGTAAAGAAAGCAGAAAGGTCCCATTCTCTAATCCAAGATCATTTTAAATCACAAATTGATTTAGTTTAATGTTTGGCTCAATACATTTCAGCCAAACAATAGTCCTTGGAGGTTGCTTTCATTATTACAAAAAGTGAATCAATTAGATCCATTTAAAATGAATTACAGATTATACTTTAGAAAAGTTTCTTATTTAAAAAAAAACAATACAGAAAGAGACATAAAGTTACCAATTTAGGGTGTGCGTAGGTAGCAAACCCAATGATTGGAATGCTGTTTCCATCACTTAGAGGTATGCGGTGATCTACTGCAGTGAGGTCCATCTTGGAGAGCCTAGGACTTCAGATTTCTAGGAGTGATTCGGAACACTTTGGACAGGTGTCCTAGGGCCTATTTAATCAAAGAAAGGAGGGCAAGAGGGAGGAGCAGTGGGAGGGAAGAGAGATTGACAGATCTATTTCTCAACCTGTTTTCTTCTAGGTTGTTATGGAAATACTGAGATTGTCCTTTGAACTTTATTCGAGACATAAGCATAACTCAACTGAGAGTTTATGCTTATAAGTCCGCAAAGAAAAGATTGAACAACAACAACAAAGGAAAGGAATCGAGTGGGGTTCTGTTAGGATGCCTTTGTTGCCAACTAACAGGTCTATCTCAAATTCTCTTAGAATATAAAGGAAATTTATTGGTTCATATTCCTGAAAACGTCAACATTAGGGCTAGCTTAAGGTGAGACTAGAGTAGTTCCTGTCCCAGAACTTCCCTGGAGATTCTGAGGCAGCAGGATTGGGCAGGGGTCTGAATTCCTACCACCTAGACTGTAGGTGCTAGAGGTAAACTTGGAAACATTGGGCCAGAGGAACAAAGGAAAAGGCAGGAAACAGTTTCACACCCTCTGTCTCCTGGCTTTCTCAGCTGACTCTCCCCTTATCATTGAAAGACAGTAATCAGCCCTTGAAGTGACTCAGCTCCAGCTTCAGGTCCACTAACACAGAGCTTACCTCCTCCATAGCTCAACCATAACCCAGGAATGGAGTCTTTTTTGCCTCAATAGTCTTTTTTGGTTGAACCATGCATCGCTAAATCAATCAGAGTGGTCAAAGGAAATAAAAGACTGATTTGATTGCCTTAAGAGAATACTAGTAGAAGCCATTTCTACATGTGGAGTTGGTGTTAATCCAGTGGTTCTCAACTTTCCTAATGCCGCGACCCTTTAATACAATTCCTCATTTTGTGGTGACCCCCAATGTCATTGTTACAAATTGAACATAATTAAACAATAGTGATTAATCACAAAAACAATATGTAATTATATATGTGTTTTCTGATGGTCTTAGGCAACCCCTGTGAAAGGGTCTTTCGACCCCCAGAGGGGTCGCGACCCACAGGTTGAGAACCGCTAGGTTAATCCCTCCTGGGAAGATTCTGGATGTTGTTAATGAAAGGGAAAGAAGTAGTAACTGGGAAACAATGGTTATTTATTTTAATCTTCCTCTAAAGAACTGTGCAACAGTCCATGATGATGGAAGTGTCCTGAAGTTTTCCTGAAATTGACTTGTCCTCTCTCTAGGAAATTCATTCTTGCTAATATACACACAGGCAGTGGACACAATAATTTCCACCAGCGTGGGGCAGTGTGGAATGTGGGCAGTAATGGTCCTCAATATCAGTTGTCAAATCAGTCCATCACTCATTGCCACCTTTGTGTGCTAAGATGTTAGCTAGAATGTCTCTTTATTATTGACTTTCTAGCTCTATGAATTTTAGCACATGTGTAGATTTATATAACTACCATCACATGTAGGATACTGAAACCTTCTATAACCCAGAGAATGCCTTCATGTTATTTCTTTATAATCACCCCCTCCACCACCTGCACCGCCTGGAGAAGTCACTTTCTGTTGTTCATTCCTATTGTTTTACTTTTGACAATATCATATGAATGGAATCATACAGTATATATAGTCTTTTGAAATTGCCTTCTTTCAGTCAGTATAATCTGTTTGAGATCCAACCAGGTTGTGGCTTGTATCAATAGCTTATTTAGTTTTTATTGTTGCATAGTCTCCTATATAATAAAAGCACAGTATGCAAATTGTCCCCTCAACTGGGAGTTCATCTGGGAGTTCGACCAGGGGGCTGGGCCAGCCAGGGGAAGGGAGGGAGGCCCCAGCTGGCAGCGGTGGTGGCAGCAGGCAACTTGGGGAAGGGAGGGAGACTCTGGCTGGCAGTGGTGGCAGCAGCTATAGGCGGCTGGGGAAAGAGAGGGAGTACAGGCCAGCAGCCGGCAGCCACTAGGGACCATACCAGTGCACGAATTTCGTTTGTTTTCAGTTTTTGGTGATTGTGAATAGAACTGCTGTAAACATTTGCATACAGGTGTTTGTATGAACATTAGTTTTTATTTCTCCAGTAGTGAGATGGTTGAATCATGTGGTGTGTTTGACTATGTAGGAACCTGCCAAACTGCTTTTCTCAATGGTTGTAACATTTTTCATCCCCACCAACAATGCATATGAGTTACAGTTGTTCTCCATCCTTGACACAATTTGCCATTGTTTGTATGTTTTTACTCTAGTTATTTGATAGATTTGTCATGATATCCCCTGGTTATTTTAATTTTCATTTGCTATGTGGATGATGATGCTGAACATTTTTTCATGTACTTATTTGACATTTTTATTTCTTCTTGGTGAAGTGCATATTCTAGTCTTTTGCCTATTTTTTAATTCATTTGTTTGACTTATTGTTGAGTTTGGAGATTTCTTGGTACATTTTTGATACATGGTATTTACTGGATATGTCCATTGCCTATTTTTTAATTCATTTGTTTGACTTATTGTTGAGTTTGGAGATTTCTTGGTACATTTTTGATACATGGTATTTACTGGATATGTCCTTTGCAACGTTCATTTTTTTGTACTGTGTTTTGAATCTGACCTCCAGATTCTCAGGTCATTCGGACTGTGTATGTGGTTAAGTTGGAAAGCACACTTGTACCTTACCCGTACAATGATGAGATTAGTAGTATTTAGTCACATCAACATGCAGGTTCGCAAAGACTAGGACTAGAGAGGACATTCCTAAATGCACAGAGTAGTCTGACATTGACTCATAAAGGGAGTGCTGACGTCATTAAAGCTAATGGGAATACCTTGAGATGTGGAAATTTAAGTCTTTGAGAACTTCAATAATTTTTAGTTTTAGAATTTGTTTTCTACATTTTTCTGAAGTTCAAGGATAAGGATAGTAGTTTTGGGGTAAAAGGCAATAGTTTTCAAAGTTTTTAAAAGCTAGTCTGGCAAGAAAAAGTATTATTTACCCTACAGATAGTCAAAGAATGATCCAAGTTTACCAGAAAATACTGATTGAACCAACATTTGCTCTTTTATTTCATGCTACTTGCAGGCTAGCCCAGATTTAAAGTGAATTTACTTTTGGAAAAGACTCATATGCCAAGAGTGAATTTGAATCTGTGGTAGCATAAGTTGCTTGACAAGCTTTAGTTTTTGTGTTTAAGTGTGAACTATTAATGAATAAAATTGAATTAAGCTTATCAGAAGGTGCGTTACTATGTTTGAGGCAGTGTTTGATTATTAAAGGTATCCACAGAACTCAATTTACAAGTTATAGGCAACAAGTATAATATAGCAATGGCAGGAGAAAGAAATGTATTGGGAGAAGTCTGGAGACCTCTAGTATAGACCTTTCTTACCCTCCTATCACTGGGATTCTTAGGATATACTTTGTCTTAGTTTTTTTTTTTTAAAAAAAATGTGTTTTTATTGATTTTTAGAGAGAGAGGAAGGGAGAAGGATAGAGAGATAGAAACGTCATTGATTGACTGCCTCTTGTACAACGTGGGCATGTGCCCTGACTGTGAGTTGAACAGAGAATCTCTTGGTTCATGGGTCATCATTCAACCCCTGAGCCCCACCGGCCAGGCTGTCTTCAGGTCTGAACCACCACTGCCATGTGTATGAAGCACCTTGGTACCAGACAGCCCAAACCTGTTCAAGTTGTGCAGTTGCCCAAGTGTCTTCCAGCTATATGACCAGCCTAAACTCTCAACCCTCCCCAAACCAGGTGCAAGTTATAAATTCAATGACTAATACTGAACATTGCTGGTACATCTGCCCCCAAACAACTCACTGCCCTATGGTTAAGGAACTTAATATGTTCTGTAGTAATGCCAAAGTTCAATTATGCTGTGTGCAGTTCTGGAAATAAGCATTTTGTCATTTCAAACCTGCTGAGATTAACCCATGCTCTACAAATGGAATATTCAAAGATGTGGACAGACATAGACAATTTTCTCACACAGGTTAAATAATCAAGGTAGGGAAGGACAGTTGGTGGGTTCAAAATGTCACAATTATGGATAGTGATATGTGAAGGAGAAGCAATGATGGCAATAACCTGTCTCATGGCATTTAATTTATCTCATAAAATGTATTATAATTGTTTTCAATCCTGGGAGGAAAAAATTCTTTTAATACACAGTTATTTCACCAGTCCTTTATTTAAACATGGGTATGCTTTCTTTTCCTTTTTAATTTATCTTTATTGTTCAAAGTATTACCGGTGTCCCTGTTTTTCCCTCCATTAAGCCCTTCATCTTTCACCGGCCCCTCCCCAGGCCTTCACAACACTATTGTCTGTGTCCATGGGTTATGCATATATGCATATAAGTTCTTTGGCTAATCTCTCCCCAACCACCCTTCCATCCCAGCCTTTGCTCTGAGAGTTTTCTGTTAAACATGGGTATGTTTCTTTTAACCTGAAAAGTACATCATTGTTTGTTTATATGTATTTATCTTATACTAGTAGCCCAGTGCACGAAATTCGTGCACATTAAAAGGGAATTAAATGCCCTGACCAGTTTGGCTCAGTGGATAGAGCATCAGCATGCGGACTCAAGGGTCTCAGGTTCGATTCTGGTCAAGGGCATGTAACTTGGTTTCGGGCACATCCCCAGTGGGGCCTGTGCAGGAGGCAGCTGATCGATGATTCTCTCATCGTTGTTTCTAACTCTCTATCCCTTCCTCTCTGTAAAAAATCAATAAAATATATATATTTTTAAAAGGAATTTATTAGCAGATATATTTTAATATTGCTATTTGCCCTTTCTCTATAATAGAAGTTTGAGAGATGAAAGGAAATTAGTAAAATGTATATGAAAATAATATGTAAATTTATTAATAAACTATAGGCCCAGTGCACAAAAATTTGTGCACTCGGGGGGAGGGGGTCCTTCATCCCGGCCTGTGCCCTCTCGCAGTCTGGGACCCCTCGGATGTGACCACTTGCCGGCTTAGGCCTG